CTCATTTCAATACACTATCACATTGAATCTGGATCATGAAAAAATGTTAACTAATTCTTTGAAATTGAAATTTAAAAATTGGGTTTGTATAATTAGATAACAATGTTAATCCCAATATATTATCTTTGTAAGTTTCTATGTTTCGCAAATATTAACAAACTGTTGGTGAAACAGCAACTAGAATATATCAAAATCAAAACAGTACATGACACTGTTGAGAATATACGCTAAATGTGTATGGATTGTTATTCAGATTTAAAAATGTAATACATTTGTTAATAATGGCAGCAAAATAATGCTTTGACACTATACACATCAAGTGGAGGAAATCATGTATATTGATAGCTCTTTGTTTCAGATGTTTCTATCCGTAGGGCTCAACCATAAATGAATCCTGGATGTATTATTTTACTTGCTGATCCATATGTATGGATTATATAATGAAATAAAGTTGTCAGTAAGTCAAAAATATACAGAAGAACCCTGTCTTGACAAACATCAGAGCACATCTATAAATGTGTTTCTAACTTGCAGGAACACCTACAAGTGGGAAATGTAAATATTAGTGCGTAAATCTTTACTTAAAGACATCATCAATTTTCACTGTTCTCAATTTAACATAAGCATGTTTTTCTGATTCTCCCATTCTAGATTCATCACAAATGGAGATTTAAAATAAAAAATTCTAAATAAAGATCTCACCTTTGGTGAAAATGGAATTCTTTACAGACTATCAACACCTCATCCTGACTGAAAAGCTCTGAACAAAGTAAAGAATGTGTTAAGATATCAGGCTTTATGCCTTTACAAATACTGCTCAACTCACCCACTGCTGTCACTCACCTGAACATGATAAGGACACCAGCACGAATGAGTTCTGAACAGAGACCATATGCCTTCCCAAAACAATACTCAGGGAAACAGTCGTTATAATTTTCACCTTGCACAGATGAGCTGGTTTATATATAGAAGGGTATTTTCATGGGTGGAAATTTCCCTTTTGTGCTGCCTTTAAATTAGGGAGCAAAAGGGTATATGAGAGTAAAATTAATGAGTCACCTGGTTTCACAATGTGAAAATTTGTTGCTTCAACATCAGACTCTTACTTATGGGAAAAAGCAATACTCTGGAACCAATATTTTGTTATAAGCCAACAGTTATAAGCAAGAGTTTACATGCAGGAAGAAAATGCCCATAATTTATACACCATAACTTAGGGCAGCCCATATTGTCTCTTATATGTGGGTTTTACTGTATTTTAACAATGCAACTTACAAAAAAATCTATGTTTCAATGCACAAATATCTCCTATAGCAAAATATCTACTACTATTCCTACTACTACCTAGAGCATTTCATACTTATTGACAATTATCTACTCTTTGCTATTCAAAAAATTAGTTTGAATGAAGAAAGTATACTGTAATTTCAAAACCAAATTTCACAATGAAAAAAGAATGTAGTATGAATATCATATACTCATATGGAGTTTCATATGAGTAACATGCAACATGCATGTATCATTTAATCCTAAAGCATTATCACCTAATACACCAATGGTAAATGATAAGTGAACATCTCAATACAAAAACGACCAGAAAGGAATACAACTTCCTGAAAAGTAATGCTTCTTCAGCCAACATTTTTTACTACTAAATATTGTAGTATATTGTAATTATAAGTGAAATGCAAGTTTTAAACATTCTCTTATTAAGGATGTTCACTTTTTCATGTTGCACATTTATGTTATGTTCTAGAAATCAACTCCTGCAAAAGTTAAGTTTTAAAACTTCACAAGGATGTCAAAAATAACTGTTTCTGATATCCCAGTGCCATAGTAGTAAAAAAACGTCGGTGGAACTACAAAAGATTTCTGATGTTTTCATGAATAGTTTTCTAGGAGAAATCTAATGTTGGCATGCCAGTTAAAAGTGGGATCTATGTGAAAATGTGACATCATTATTAAGAAAAATTTCAAACTTTCATTTTATTTCTTACCCATTGTAAATATTAATACAAAATTTGTGAGTACAGCATTAAAATAAAAGATGTTTGCACATTTTTTGATTACCTACAACAAAATACAATTCTGAAGTCATATCATAACATATTTCAACATGTAAGACTAACATGGCTAATTGATCTTTAAAACAATGAAAAATACTAATGATGCTTAAAATCACCGAGATCAATTTTCCCTCATGATGAAAATTTTGCAGAAAAAGAACATGAGGGAGAAAAAAGGAAGAAGGGGCAGAGAGAGGAGCAAAGGAGATGAGTAAAGAAAAAGATGAATGAAGAAGAAATAGGAGAAAAGAAAAATAATCCCTTCGCTCTTTTGTTCAAATCATCTTTTATCTATTTTCCAGACAAGGAAAGAAGAAAAAATTTTATGATTTCATTTCTCAGCCCAGCAACAAATTGTACATCAATTTAGCATCAAAGCACATTTAAGAATATACAGATACAATTAAAACGTTTTCCGCATTCCTCATTCAAAATAGCATTAGAGAGAAAAATGTAATGATATTAGCAATATTAGAATTTGCAAAAGTGCATGACACTTGCAATATATATTTCATAAGATTCAACAACAACAACACTTAACTACATATCCATTACATAAGAAAGTATACTCATACTTTCAATTTATTTACTTAAACAAAGAAATAACACCATCATAAATGTAACAACTTGTGAAGTATCACATACATTTGAGTTTACTATTCTAACTTTTATTGGATTCTATATAGATATTAATTGTACAGGTACCAAATTAAATACTCTAAGAAAATGTTAAAAGTTTATCTTTTAAATGTTTAGAAAAAGTGAAAGATAGAAGTTAACTAAACTCAATGATGCTTTATTGTTGAGATTCAGGAAAAATAATTGAACATATTTAGCTGTAGGTACATCTCATGGTTATAATTTTTCACCGGCCTTCCATTGTGAGACCACTAAAAACATTAAGATAACTTATGATCTACTTCATTTACTGCATGTATTCACCCTCATTTACAGAACTAAAATGTTCCTCTAGCCTCTATACATGTACAATATTTACACATACTACTTTTGGAACCCCAGAACAATGGCAATTTAAAAATGAATTGCTAAACCCAAATTTAGCACAAATCTTCCTTCTATATATTGCAATAATTTAATTAACTACATCAGGGATGTAATTTAGATCACATGAAGGGTACATCAAGCATAAGGATTTACACAAATGGTGTTCTTTAATATACTAATGGTATAAAAGTTTCCAAATAACAATGTAAATGTGTTTGCAAAAGTAAGGTATAAACCTAATTCCAAATTTAATAAGTTTGGTCAATAAAATTATATTCAATATTAACATGTTATCAACACGATTCAGTATTCAAGAACAAAATTTACAAAAATATATAGATTTAATTTTTTTTTCCTTTTAAATATTATTATCATAAAACTTGTTTGTAACCAGGCTTTAACATTATCTCCTTTAGAAAAAGTAAATCAATATTACACGAAGAAAAGTAACTGACTAATAAATTTTAATTTAATTAATTTGGTTTATTTAGTCTAACTCAGCTTTATTAGAAAAGCATAATTTTATTAATTAATAATGAAAGATATTTCCTAGGTTTTTACACACTGTAAAATTGACATGGATATGTATTAGAGTGAAGACATTAAATGTGAAAAATCAATTTAAAAATTAAGTCATTATATTTTAGAGGTAATAGAAGAAATGAGGAATTGCTAATTACCTACATGAGAAATGTTTAAAGTTTGAATTTATGAATGGCTTACATACATTTATTTAAGGAAAAAGCCTATTTTTAACATAAATAGGGCACAATACCCAAATGAAACTATGATTCTATGAACATATTAATTTAAATATATTTCACCTCGCACAAAATTTAAAAAGGGGGTTTATTTCACCCTCATTAAGTTGGCTTTAACACAATAATAAATGTTTAGGTGTAACAGCCTTACACATATGTTAATGATGCTTTTCCAGCTAATTTATCAATGAAAGTGTACAACTACAAAAACATACTTCAATGTATTGAACTAAAATTATGGTGTATTATTTTAAATGGACCAGTCATATTCCTATTTCTAGAAAAATGAATATATAAATTAATCATAAGATCTGTGACCTTTAATTAAACCATATGAAATAAAAAGTCTACATAATTGCACTAGCATCTCAGTGGGGGATAAAATAAAAAATTAAATGAAATTTAAAAAAATACATCCAATTATACATCCAACATTATAATTCACTACAACTGCAAATATATGTATATATACATATATATCTAAAGAGTACATCTAAATACATACATTCTTTGACATAAAAGACATCATTTAAAGAACACATTGATAAACATTTAAGGCCTTGCTTTTTCTTCTTTTTTTTTGAGGAGGATATTAAAAACAATAAGTTCATGAGTGAATTTTAAAAGCAACTTTTTTAAAAACAAAACACATGCATTTTTGCGCAAGGTAACCCAACGATAAAAAATGCAACCAACTTTCACATCTGTGCGTTAAGTACTTGGTCAAGCGTATTTCATGCTTGTATTCAATAAGCATAGAATCTCCATCTCTGCTACTGGATGAACAAATTTTTACATTTTAAAAAAGGATCAAAATTCTATTTAATATTACAAGTCATGCATTAATTGTACAAAACAATCATCGATTCAAAATGACTGTTTTAGAATGTCCAATGGCAGAGGAGATTGACAGCATGAATGCTGTCACAGCAGCATTGGAATGATGTATGTTTGTGGTGCTACCTGAGTTTAAAGTTATACCATGCACACTCCACAAAATCCTATCTCCAAAAATATTATGCTCAAGTACCATGACCCCTATGCAGTAACACTAACCTTCCAAACCTTCACCAACACACTACACAGCTTGTACAGTACCACCTACTAGACTTGCAGAAAAATCTACCAACATATTGTTTAGTGATTAGTGACTATGATGACAGGGTACCTCATGCCTTGATCATCGTCAAGGTCTTCAGCCTGCTCTCAGGACTTGATAGCTTCATACATTTTACGAGCTTGAACTCGAATATCTTCATTCTTGTGTTGATTCATCAGTACAAATATTTTACTTCTCATCTTTTCCAATGTATTTACCCCATAGATAGCTGCATACCTGCTGAAAGGACAATACATTAGCTAATAAATATGCATTATGTTCACAGGAATATGATAAGGTAGCTGATAAGGCAAATACGTAGTCAATGATTAAACATCCAATTCAACAACATACATTTTTCTCTGTCTTAAAACAATTTAATTTTACAAGGATTATATTAGATGGACTTATATGACACTCATTAAAATTAATGTCACAGAATATCAGATGGATTATTATCCCAGCTAGAAATATAAAGAAAACACGAAATGAAACAGTAAAATTGTAAATTACATTGGAGAAATTGTACACTTCCTTATCAGAATATTTTATTCTTACTATAAATATTATGTAAATTGCATTAATAGTTTTTTCTTGAGAGGATAAGATTTATTTCTCTCCTCTTGGCCAAATATTTTCTCACACATGTACACATGCATACACACACATGCAGCTTGACATGCAAGATAAGTTAACAAAATGGAAACTTGAGATCTGTACATTAGTACACAACTTTCAACATAAATATCATGTTCTGTATATTTGGAAAAGTGTACCTCTGATGTCCCACAAACTATGGATTTCATTGAAACTGCACAATACACTGGAATTGGGATTCACGGAAAAATTTGATCTCTTAGTGGAGAGAACAAAAAAAATGACTTTCAAATTAGGGCTCTAGGGGTAGGGTCCAGCCACTTGATGTTTTCTTATAAAGAATTTTGCTTTAACAAAAATGAATTTGTAAATTCAGTGTAAATTTATAGTTATTTACAATGTATGTAAGAGGGATATTGAATGATTTTTGTTGCTTTTGAAAATATATTGTTCTTATCTTGAGTTATTGTCTATATCAAGAAGTTAAAATAGTTCAAAACTTGGAAATTAAATTTTTTTTACTTTAAACATTTATGCAAATAAAATTGGCAAACTATTCCTTTTTTTTTTTTAGTAGTTTTACAAATAATTCAACCTTGATTTGGACATTTATAGTGACCTAACACGAAATGCAAATAAAATTGTAAATACATATATTTCCTAATAGTTGATAATTAAAATTATTTTTATATTAGTACTAAATAAATTGTGAAATTGTGTAAATCATCAGTTAGGTGGGGGTGGGATCTAAAATCTCATGAGCCCCTCTTCCATTAGTACACCACTGCCATTATAAGTTACAAACGTTTTCTATTAGGTACAGCAAGCAACAATCTAAAATCGAGAAAGCTCAACCACTTTAATTATTGTGAAATGATGATTGGTTCAATTTCAAATTAATTTTGTGTTAACGATAATTTGTACATAAAAATCTACCTAAAGATTGCATTGCTCAGCTAGGTACATTTCATATGAACAAGATGTTTTGCAAAGTGTGGCACATTAGAGAAGAATGTAGAACATAAATATTAATCAAAAGAGAAGAGTATAAATATTATCAGAAGTCTTATTAACACCAAACAAATACTTTTCACAAAAATGAAGTAGGTGCTTAATTTTTTCAGTAATTATAAAAATAGAAAACTTGGATGAACTGTTTTTTCCAATGCAATGTGTGGAAACAAACAGAAAACGAACAGAGAAGTTGAAATATGTCATGGTAGTGAGAGATTTTAGGGTGACATGTCCTGCATACAGGCACACCAGAAACAAGGCTGATGATAGCAAATCCATCAATTACAATTGACAGAGTGATCTGAGAAAAAAAAATTGGAGGTAAGAGTATTAAAATTGTTTAAAAAGGACAAAAATAAGGAAAAGTGTGTGTGGTGGAAGGGAAGATGTATATTTTGGAAGAGATGGAGAATTGTGATGTGCACGACAATTCTGGAACTAGTCTATGAAGTACTTTATCAACAGATAAAGGCATCCTTTTGGCTGCACACCCCAGCATGAATATAGTGTTATGGAAAACATGTTCCACAAGATCATACTTTCAAAAGAATATCACAGTAGTCTCAAGATTAGCTCTTACAAGGCTCATTTAAATTCCACATTTTACAGCAACTTATATTTATCTCGAACCATCAGAGAGGAAATTATTAATTTCCATAATATACACATAATATCCATTGAACATTGTAATAAAAGCACTTAAACATATATATATATATATATATATATATATATATATATATATATATATATATATATATATATATATATATATATATATATATATATATACACACACACATACATCTATACATACATACACACACATATACATACATATGAGAGAGTGTGTGTGTGTGTGTGTGTCTCTATGTGTATACATTTAAAAAAAGGAATAAGGTGTTTTACAATTATTGAAAACTACATGGTAAAACTTTATTAAACTTCGAACTTGGTAGACACGAGTAGGAATATATATTATCACTAGAACCCAGCATACATTTTTCGGACACTTTAATAGTATTTTTTCACTAATTTATTATAATATCAAGAATATTCAGATGTCTGTTTTAAAGGAAGGTCAATCTATTAACATTAATAACTATACTTGGATTTAAACATTAGTGACTCATGTAAATCAGCTGTTGCGGTGTCATCCAATCAGGAGGTTGAACGTCACCATAGTGATGTGTAAGCTCCCGATTGGATGACACCGTAACACTGTTATGGTAACAACTGTCGACCTGTCAAGTGCAGCTCTAAATAAATTGAAGAATACATGTTAGTTAACACAAGAAATAAACATATTCCTTAAATATCAAATAATGGGATGTCCTGTTCTAACAAAGGATAGAGTGTGTACTCAAGCATGGATTGAGAGTCCTCCAGTTGGTTTTAATGTAAGAAATCACAGAATCTTGACTGGTATCATTTCACGCTTCTGCAGTAGTTTTTAACTCTACCTGACCCCGGTGTGCAAGTTCAACATTTCATATATAACATTGTGCCTCCGCTTGGAGAGAAAGAATGCAACCTTGTCCACATATAGTGTAGTCTTGCAAGTAAGTTTACAACTTGATCAAGATTGGTGCCAGGAGAAAAAATATTGATAAGAAAGAACAAAAAAGTCAAAATACTTAAAATAGGAATCAGAAACACAGTTTCATGATTTGTTATATCTTTGATTCATAACAATAAAAAGTAGGCATAATGCCAAACTTCTGGGCTCTGTTTATTAGTTTTCTTTTGTGTTTATGAACACTTCTTCCTCTTTATCCATTGTCTTTCTTTTCCACTATCTTATTTCTAAATACAACTCGACAAATTACAAAGAAATTTGAAACAAAACAGACATATATAAAACAAACTAATAAGTCACTAGCAGACAAAATGGGTTAAAACAAAAAACAAATAAACTCTAGTTTCCAGAACAAATGCACTTGATAGTAAGTACCTAAGGTGATATTAAGAGTTGAATTTAGAATTCTAATCTCACCCTACACATTCATACCAGATTTTTCTCATTTTTTTAATTAAAACCTTAATTGTATTACAACTTCTAATATGCTGACTCATTTAAGATTCCTAACAACATTTGTGCATATGCTTGACACTACATGATGTCTTGCATTACCAGTATCTTTAATGTAAAGACAAAAGTACAATTTGAAAGAAATATAATACTGAAAGGCTTTAGTTTTAAAAAAATTAGTGACTATCGCATTTTTAACTTTTCACATTTTTTGTGAAGAACATTAACAAGTTATTTACCCATCCATAATATTCACACATGGTTTCATCCTTGCTTCTTCACTCAATTTTTTAGATTCAAAAGCAAATACGGACATCCTGATGCTTATATAGCCCTTTTTTTATTACTACAGAATTTAAAAACAATTTTTGCAAAACTTAAATACATTAAAACTGGATTTTTTTTCTCCTGAAAAATGAGACGGGGTCTTTCTTCTACAAATGAATGTAATAGAAATATAATTGGAACTGTTTGACATTTTCTAGTAATTTAAAAACAACTTGTTGCATTATGTTACACTGACCAATACTAGAATAATAAAAATATTTTTTGTAACATCTGTTAATAGTGAGAATATCTAAATAATCTCATTTGGTAATAATATTTACAAGAAATTAAAAAAAACAACAAAAAAACAACTTGTCCCAAATTTTTGGGGTCAATACAAGCATAATGCACTTAGAAAACTCTGATAAACAAATACTATGATTCACATTCCTTAAAGCAATAATCGAATAAAACAGTTTTCATCACAAGTATTAATAATTTTTAATAACTTTATCTTAATATAAATTAAAAAGAGATCAAGCACTTTTGGTGTAAGGAAGCAAGATATATCATGAAAATAACATGTCATAATCTTCCTGTGAGCAATTTAAATTATTGATTTATGAACCAATTAAGAAGAAATTATATCTAATTCTTAGAGCGAAGAAAATTCTTGTAGCTATACTTTTTGTTTCTGAGATCTTCAAAAAATGTTTTCTTTCTTGCCTGTATCCCCCCTCCCCCCCCCAAAAAGTGTTAATTTATTAGTATGGCAGAGGAGTGTGTGACTTTTTAAGGATGACATGCAAACACTTAAAATTCATCGCTAACCAATTACCTGGTATGCAAAGGTGATAAAAGATGGATATATTCATATTTGTTGTTTTCATTTCTACGCTGTTGAGCTTGATTCCTGAGAAATAACAGAGGCTTTCCTCTATCTTTCATCAATTTCTTTCAACAAATATATGGATCAAGAGAGGAAACTTCAAAGATACAATTAAATCACAAATGATAGATCAAGGCTTCAGAAATAAAGTTTAAATAATTAAATTCTTTATAAGGTAGCAATACACAAGTGACCTTTTTAATTCAAATTGTTAAACACCTAGATAGGGGAAATGAACTTAAATGAATAACATCTACAAAGGGACACCTTTAAGAGAAAATTTTTATTTTATTCTACACAAAAATCTATAGGATGTATGTTATAGTATGAAAAAGTCTGTGCAAGAGTCGCAACAAAATGAAAGAAATTTATTACACTTAGGTCTTATGTTAAACTTTCATGAATTTTACCATTGGTTAATTGAAATAAAATAAATTATTTGTAGTTTGCAGCATTCAAGCCTAATTTTTTAATTATGCATACTCAACTGAATTGTGTAACAGCTATAAGGTAAGTATTATTTTATTTCTATTATTTGTTCTGTGTTCAATAATTCTGCAAGAAGAATCAGAACATAACTATTTTAAGTGAAAAGAAAAATAATTTACAAAATAAATGAATGTCTTTTATGAATACTAATAAATTTTATAAATGTATAATATGAAATAAAAACATCTCAACATTCACATTTCTGAGATTTAACTAGTCAATGAACAATAATGTACATGGTCATTACATAAGTAGGCATCACTGAAAAACAAGTAATAAAAAGCTGAGGCAAAGAAAATTATAAATGACAATGAAGAAAAAAACTAAATGAATATTCTCTTAAAAACTGCCAGTGCCATTCATAATGACTGAAGTTCTTTAAAAAAATGTGTATTTCAATAATTTTGTTATCTCCTCCTGAAGCGTACTCTGAAACTGCAAATCTAAAATGTAAAGATTTAAGTGCATGAACTTATGAAGAAATCTCACTCAAAAATACTTTGCAGTGACAATTCCATGATGATGATAATCTTGGATTGCAAAGCACTAATAGAGAGGGAAATTTCATTTTTAACAAGTATTAGAATTGGTCTAAAGTGAAAATAACAATAATCTATCATAGTTACTCACATTGTATCAGGTGAAGCTGCTTTATCTTCAGCTGGTAAATCAATTGTGGGATCTAGATTTTGATCCTTTGCTGCTGTTGTTAAATTGGCTAAAAGTGTAACAACACGTAAAAGAATTTCTTCATTAGTGGACGGATCTAATAAATAAATTAATCTGCGTGGAGCCTAAAAATAAAACAAATTTATGAAAAAAATGAGCACAACATTAAATTTGAGGTACAACGGTCTTTTCATGCTACTGCATTTCTCTTTGAGTTTCAGAAATTTGCATTAAATTTTCACAAATTACCTGAGCAGCCAATAAGCTAGGCACCATATCTTCGTTACAAGAAAGATTCACCAGAAGCTTGAGAGCTTGCAATTTTATTTGAGGAGTAGCCGCATCTACCAGATTATATAATGTGTGTAATACTGGATAGAACTCATCATGCCAATCTGGTAGAACAGCAATATTTGTCAGAGTCAATAAGGCACTCTGAACTAACTTATCACTGGGTTGTTCTTTGTTCACAAATGTGAGAAGAATGGGAATAACATCCTAAAATAACAGAAAATTGTTTATCACAAATAATTTAATCATATAACAAGAATAAATAAATGACAATAGGGTTTCAAAATAAACATACTTTCAATTCTTTTTGATTTTCTTGATTTAGAGACAAATTTCCTAGAGCACGTATTGCAGCCAACTGGATAGAAGTTTTGGGGTACGTAAGAAGATTTTGTAATCTAAGCAAACAACCAGCTTCACGAAGTGTATCCTGTGATCACAGAGAATGAAAATAATTTAATTAAATTTATAATTCTTTTAAGTTTTTAACACTAGCTACATAATAGAATTTGATGTATCACCAGCTAATCACAACAAGAACAATATAAAATAAGATCAATTCATGTATTAAAGAAGTTATATCCATTTAGCAGTAGAAGCATTTAAATCTGATTTTGAGTAAGAAATCAAACTTCAAAGTACTAACTTTGATACACATCTCTACTACAAAGTCAAATAAATTTTACTGAAAATTACAGTAAAAGAAGAAAAAGAAATAAAAATGTGCATCTCACCTGATTTGCCGTGAATGTTCCACAGTTCCCAATAGTCGTTAGAGTTCTTTCAAGAAGAACTTCATCGGAACTGTGCAGCAAAGCTACCAAACTTTTAGCTTCATGTGCTGTTATAACACTACCAAAAATGTGGAAAAAAACAAAACCTAGTTACAACATAACTACACTTGGTTTAATAACATTAAGTTAATGAATTCAAAACCAATAATCATAGACAGATTTGCCATTTACTTAATAATAAGAGCTAATCATTATACTCTAACTGTTGATTGTTTCTTCATTCTACTTTATGAGCTATATATAAATGTGCCAATGGACACTTGGCACATATAGTGAAATAGATACTTTGTAATGTTTTGGGTGTTAGTAATATCTTAGCAATAAATAGCACTGTAACATTGTCTTCAGAATGAAAACAAAAAATGAAAAACAAATGATATACAAAGGACGACAAAGGTCATAGTATGTTTGTAGTAGATTTTGGGAGACTACCAGTTCACACTTGTTCAAGTAATGCATTAATCAAGTTGAATATACAAGAATATTTATTGAAAATATTTGAATGAATGACAATGATAGTTTTAACATTGGGAGCACATTAACATTAGACATGATTCTTTGATTACACAGTTATATTTCTGAAATACACAGAGAATTTTAACAATATGTAATGGTATAAAAAATTAATTAACAATATTTCCAGGGGTCTAGAGATTCATGAAGGAGAATGAAGATGTGTCAATTCAATTTAAGGATTAAGTTCGAAGACTAAAGACAAGCAAAAACTTCAGGCATTAATACAAAGTAAAACTACTTATATAGATACTACTAAAAACAAATATACCAATATATTTAAAGAAAGAAATAAAGCGCACAATACATGAAAATTACTTCGCTTAAACATGCAGACATTTTATATTTTGTACAATGGAGGATTAACACCATACATTGAGTTATAACATATGTTTTAAAATGAAAGTTTGATGCATGGAGTAGTTTAATTAAATGGTGTGTGTGAGGGAAAAATATATTGTTTCATGTCAACGTGTCAAATTTAGAAAATTCTGCCAGAATTGTCATTTAACTATCCCTTGGTTACTATCTTTGAACAGTAATTTCAAAAGTTTCTCTCATTTTTTCTTTCTTTTTTCTTCTGTAAAAATGTTAAAATTTTTATGACACGAAAACTTTGAAAAAATTTTTATATGAACAAAACCTCATTCATGGAAGCCAGTTTTTTAATACAAAATTCAATATAATCTTCCTCAGGAGTGGTGAACATTTTAGCTCCCTCCAATTTACAAAAAAGAACCAAGTGACAATTGTGTGAATAATAGAGGTATTGCAGTGATTGCTATGGTAGGATGATTATATAGCAAATAATTCACAATAAAATTTAGTAGGAAATAGGAAAACACGGAGAAGAGAAATGTGGTTTTAGGGCCAGTAAATTAGTGGTAGACAACTTATTGACTTTAAAACAACTAATGGAGAAGGAAATAAGACTGATTCATGTGGATTTTATTGATCTGCATAAAGCATACATCAATCTACCAGTAGCAAGAGTTTGATAAGAAATGGTCAATTTGGAACTAAATAAGAACTTAATAAATGCCACACAAAATAATATATCTCGGAAACAGATCTAGAACAGGCTCTCCGATTGTGTCCAGCGTGTAAAGGCTTTCAATATGAGTGTTGTCTCTCCCCCCCCCCCACTCTTTTCAAAATATATTTAAATGGATTTTACTTGGATGGCAAAAACAATATTTGGGAGAGTGAGAATAGAAGTCCAAAGTGAGAATAGAAGTTTAAATTATTTTAGGAATTTAGCTCGCCAACATGAATATCTTTTGGTGAAATTGTTTCAAAATTTCTTTGTAATAACACGGATCCCAATTACTGAAACATTGCGGTTAACATGCTTGAAGCATACAAGGAACTTGGTTGTAACAGGAGAATGAAAATTAATTTCCTGTTTTCTCTAGATTATTTCCCTGAAAATCTATGATTTTTGAGTGAAGAGCAAGGCGAACAATTTCACAAGGATGAGTTCAAAAGGAGGTACCAGGGATGCTGGAGCATCAGTATGCTTGCAGACTATTGTTTGATGTTAAAAGGTGAAATACCTAAAGACAAACATAAAAGAAACAGGAATGGGAGTACTTTCTCAAGTAGCACGCTGTGTATATTAATTATGGTTTTTCTTTAAAATAAAAAAAAGGTATTATGAAAACATTTGTGATGAAATTCGAATAATTATACATGTAAAGTGATTTCACAAAAAAACCTAACATGATAGAAGTAAACTAATTGAAAATTTGGTTTCCGCACATTGAAATTATATAAAATCATGTTTTGTACTTTAGGCAACAAACAAAAAGTTTATATTTGCAGGCTAGTGTTATAAGAATCTTTTGGAAATTTTGGATATTATCAAGTGTGTTCAGGTAACACTCTTTGGTTACAATGTTTGAAAGGCCTCAATGCCAGAAACATAACTTACAAGCAATGCAAGACCACTAAAATGATGACAGTTGTGGAACGAGAAGATTTTTTGAAATATTGATTGATAAAATCTAAGTAAATATAGTCAAGATGGAACATATCTGGATATTCATACAACAATTAAAATGAGTCTTGGGTTTAGAAACGCACAACAAATTTTGAAAGATTATTTACATAACTAGTTTACACATGTATTAACATGTCTGCTTAATCTGGTTGTGAAAAATTGATATATTTCTCTGATAGGGCTCCAAGCATATACAAAAACAAAAAGAATTTTCTTTAGATGTGCAATTATAAAGCATATTTTGGACAAGTTATTGAATGGCAATCAAGTCTTAGCAAAAATACCTATGGTATCATAGGAAATACTACCAAGCTGTCCATAATGAAGACTAGTTTACAGTGATAAAATCTTGAAATTCAATGTCATGTTTAAATTATGCAAAGAAAATATTAAAGGAATTATATAGTACGTCTTTGAAAAGCTGAGGAAATTCAAAATGTAATTCTAATATTTTGGAGAAAAGATACTTAACAGAAACATAAAGGTGCCAAAACATTTCATTGTTTCATGCCCTTATCCAAAAACATGATAATATACCAATACAAATCTTCATTCTTCTCATTATCATTTGAAAGTGAACTTCATCAAACTCAAAAGCTGCAATATTGACACTTCAAAATATAAATTCATTCTGTAGCATTACAATACTGCTTTCTTTATACTATGTAACTATGATAAAGTTAAAACACTGTGCAAACTATCATGCTCTCCTAATATGAGCTTCAGAAGATTTAACCACATAGCCCCGTAATAAAAGGGTTTTTTTTTCTTGGGTGTGCGCCACACAAAAACAGTACCTTCAATTCTTGAAAATTAAACTGGAAATGAGGAAATATCACACGTATGTTATAAAATAACGGCTGCACTAGTTATCGGATTTTGGGAACGAATGAATTTTCAGGCATTTCCATTTATAAAGAATGTTGTGTACAATGGGGGGGGAAAAATTTCAAGCAATTTTTGCTTTAAGATAATAAAAATTATAAAACAAAACATTTTCTCAAAAATTGCTCCAAACATTTTTCTTAATTTTTTTCCCCATGGAACGCTCAAAATAATAGCACAGGTCTCGTCTTTATTGAACTTCATGAATTTTCGAAATTGCAGAAAATTAACAATGCAAAAGTACAATATTGAAGCTTCTCAAACAAAAACAATTCTAAAGAAATATATCTTTACATAAACTCGTGGACAACTTTTGACAAAACGAGAGATTTTCACGCAATTTCTGCTTGATTGTGTATGCAATTTATAATTTCCCCCTTCAATAACGGCTTCAATTTTTTATTTAACTTTTTTTCCGCGGATGGACATTTAAAAAAGCAAAGGACCTTTAAAAACGTTTGTTAAACTCTCAGAAATTTCGAAAATTACAAAATTTAGATATCACGTAAGAAAGTAGGTTTTGTTGTAGCACCTCTAGTTTAACATTTTCTAGCCCTGAAGCCTCCGCTTGCAGAGAAAGACAAAATGCGACAGTGACTTCGTGTTGGCTACGCTTGCAGAAATAATTTCAGCTTAATGAAGAGCGGTTCCCCGAGAATAAAAGAAAAAAATTGACTAAAAATTGCAAAAAAGACCAAAATAGAGGCAAAATACTAAAAATCTATAACTAAATATCTATAAAAACAACTCCAGAGGTACAATTAAGTTATTGCTATTGTCGAAAGACTTAAAATCATAACAAAACAACAATAAGAAAGATTTGGCAAACTTCGGGGTTCTGCTTATATTAACTTATGTTCCTAATTTCCAAAGTGTGTAGATATTGAAAGCAGCTTCTGGCTTTTTGACAGGTGTCTGTGGTTTTGTTAGACAGCCAGAAACTCGAAATAATGCAAAAGCATTAACTTACTAATTTCCAATACGCGCAGAAACTGAAATAGAACTATGCAACCGGTGTTTTGAGAGGTGTGTATGGTTTCGTTAGTTATCCAAAAAATTTGACGAAACACAGATGCATCTGTATTACAAATTTCCATTCCCCACAGAAATTGAAAGAAAATTGTGCAGCTTCCGGCCATGTGAGAGATCTATAAATTTGTTAGATATCAAGGAAATAGGAAAAAATAAAAAACGAAGCAACAGTTTCGATTTGGACTGAAGAATACAGATATTTGAATGTGTTATTTCACCAAATCTCATACTGCGCCTCCGCCGTAAAAAAAAAATTGACACCGTTGGGACTCCAACCTAAGGACTTACATACTCTCTGCCTAGGACTTCCCGGTCCCTGAAAGACAATGACAATACTGGCTCTGAGCTAATTCAGCTGATTTTATTTATGTATGTTTGTTGTGATGAAACTGGATTTGTCAGTTTACTTGTTTTGTACTTTTGTTGTTTTTCACACTTGTTAGCATGCGTTTGTTGTGATTAAATTTGAATTTTTAATTAATATTGCGACATATAAAATTATGATTTGGTATTTTACATGAAATAATTTTTAAAAAAATCATTACAAAACGTAAATGGGGTTTCAAGTTTTTTACGTGTTTTTAAACTGGTGTTTTTTGGGGAAGGGCAAAATTTAGCCAACCACTCACCTGTAAGTTGCGGGACAAAATGGAATAAATCCCATTTTACTCGGTCTTAAACGGTCAAGTATTTTGAGTGCTCGGTGGAAAAGAAGAAACTTTCACAATCCACAGCCAACTACATTACCCTCTGCCTTTATGCAGTCAGGTAGTCCTTTGCATTTTACTGTTAAGTTTATTTTGGCATGTGTTGTTTTTGTAATTATTTCATATGATTTAAATTAGAATTTTCAATACTAACAAAGGAAATGTTATAATCAGTTTATTTTATTTTGTACTTTTATTGTTTTCCAGCGTATTTCAATAGAGGGGAACATACCCACAAAATTTGGAACAAAAGAGCAGAGAATAGAAGTAGAGAAATTTACTTTCATCAATAGAACTAAACATATTGTAACAGTTTGCCGACAACAATTTTCAAAACTATTTTTCGCAATGTTCATAGTCTCTGTTTGTGTTGAATTAGTTTTTAACCAATTAATAAAGCAACTTCAGAATATCATAGTCAGTTTAAAACTTAAGCAACTTGAGTTGTGCAGTGCAGTGCAGTGCAGTGCAGTGCAGTGCAGTGCAGTGTAGTGCAGTATAGTGTAGTGTAGTGTAGTGTAGTGTAGTGTAGTGAAGTGAAGTGCAGTGCAGTGCAGTGCATCACCGTGTGATGTAGTGCTGTCGTGTGTAATATTAAGGTGTCGTTATTGTCATTATAACAACATTCATTTATTTGATAAAATACTGTGACTGATTTGCACTCAATTGCAGTTACATATATCTTATCTTATACTTGCATATATGGGCTTGTTGCGAATAAATTTGAGTTTTTAATGGATACCTCAATACATAAAATTATACATTTTATTTTATTTGAAATAATTTTAAAATAATTGAAACATTTAAGTTAGTTTTAAGAGTTAGAAAAATTTAATGAGCCCCACATTAATTAACCCATGTACGTATGTGATTTCTCAGTTTGAGGAAAATTTATCCCACTCTGGGAAAAATTAATATGAACATGCAAAAATGTTTCATTTTGCTAATCACCAAATATCAATGATGACTAACAACAACAACAAAGAATGAAAACTAATCTCATTAATTATCCTAGGATACATTTAAATGAATTAGTGTAGTGCAATTTTATGCATTATTTCTAAAATCACATCCACCTTTGCCTATATCTTCGTAAGCAAAATCAAATTTTCAAGTGCTTGATACAACCTGCATTAACCTTTACATATTCAAGTAATGCACAACTTCATTTAAACCCTTTGAAATTATGTGTAAGTGAAAGTTCATTTAACAATTCAAGTATATAACTCATTTGCAAACATATGCAACTATTTTCTTTCATAAAAATATAAAAGGAACTGAAAATATAAAAGAATTGCAAGTAAATGTAAAAATCACATGACAAGAAGCCCCTGTTTTCATTCTACATCAACTACTTTGCAATCTACACTCACCGATCCCTATGGGTCAAAGTTTCCAGCCTAAGTCTAAGTTCGTCTTCACCATCTCTCAGTAATCTTTCTGCTTCTTTTCGAGCTTCTTCTTCACTTTCACGCAAACCTTCAGGACTTCTATGTTTGGCCAAACCAGATCTTCGCACAGATCTTCTTGTCCACCGTCGTCGTACCGGAGAGCCCACCAACTCCCCGTGAGCAGCTAATGTTGAAAGGTTTTCAGTCGATCTACTAGCCAAAATATGCCTCACATCAACAGGACTAAGGATGCGTGGTGAACTCCATGGAGAGCACTAAAATCATATTACGATACTTTCTTATTATGGTTTATTGAATTTTAATTCTTTTACATAGAATCAATAATCAAAGGAATTTACACATGAAGTTAATTTCTGAGGTTTAGTAAGCTAAAATGAATTGTATAAAAAAAACATGAAAACTTGATGTTCATTTTTAAAATGACAAAATGTAGAAAAGATACAGAAGGGACTGAATCCTCAAGTGATTTAAAAATATCTTTTGGAAAAATAAATGCACTCAACGGAATACTAGAAATTCTAGCAAAATAAAAAATAAAACCGGAATAGGTCCAGTTTCTAATCAAGAATGGCATTTAATGGCATTAATTTTAACAATGTACAAGAATATAGTATGTATGTATAAATATGTACATTTCATAATTTGGTATTGTTTGTGTTACATTAAGTTTCACAGTGATAGGTGTATCTCAACCATAAAGCAGACAAATTGTAATTTACCTGTAAACTTCTGGGTCCAGGCAACGGACTGTGTCGAGGGGATGAAGAGCCGCCTTGGATGGCTAGCATTGTATCAGTAAACATGCGAGCACGAAGATTAAGTTCTCGTATTCGCTCTTGTACAGTTAAAGGTCTCAATATAACCTTTCCTGAACCAGTCATATCTAAATTACCCAACAAAACATCAGTCTGAGTTGTTTGAGAAAGACGACGAAAATAGAGGCGATGCTCATCAGGATAACCTGAAAAAAATAAATCGCTTTAATATCAAAAGTGATATAAGATAACAAACATGTTATAACATTAAACGTATAATTTCTAATGTTATATATTGCACTAAAAGTTTTTTCTAAATCTTTTGGACAATTAAAAAATATAACATTTTATATTTCAATGCTCCAGAAACTAGTGAAATTACTATCAGAAAATGAAATCTGAGAGGGATTTAAAGAAAATTCCAACATTTACAGTCATCAGTGCTTACGTCAATTAATTTACAAAAACACACAATTTTAATAAACTAGTGGTGCTACGTCACACACTTTCTCGCATTATTTATAAAGGCTACGCAATACTACACTACTAAATGAACCTGCAAAAGTGGTTTCCCCCAGCTAAAGTGTTTCCAACCAACACTTTTTTCGGCGTCGAGATACGAACTCACTCCCTTCTAGTCAACAGACCAAGCAATTTATCGCTATACCATTTAGTCTGTCAGGAATGCTCGCTTTGCCCGGATTAAAAACTAAAGGCGATATCTCAATATTTATGTCAGCTGTCATCAAACTTTGCACAGTGTATGACGTGTTCCACACAAGGATTCGTCTTGTATGTCTCGTAGATGGGAGTAGATTCACCTTGCAAGAAACCAAATGAAAAGTAGCAATGACTGAGGCGCAGACGCGGGTCCACATTATTTCGTCATGCCAGCAATAAGGGGTGAGGAACGCCACGGATAAACTGAGTCGTTAATCATAATGAACTTAAAAAATATATTATGCCAATCAGTTGGCATTATATTGAGAATGGATAGTTTCAGAAATGCTAACATCTAACGAATGGACAGAGGGTACGCCAAAATCAGGTATTTGAGGAGTCGCTGATTTCGCAGGCTCATTAGCCAACCCATCGCCGGCGATTCCCACGTAGTGGCAAGACAGTTGACGACCAGGTGTTGAATTGATGACGTTACGTGGTGTGTGTGAGAGAGAGGAGAGAGGAGAGAGAAGAGAGAGAGGAGAGAGGAGAGAGAAAGGAGAGAGAGACGAGAGAGAGGAGAGAGAGGAGAGAGAGAGGAGAGAGAGAGGAGAGAGAGGAGAGAGAGAGGAGGGAGAGAGAGAGGAAGGGATAAAAGTGACTGAAGTGCACTTGGCAAATCGACACATACTGCCACTCGCCATGCTGAATTTGGTTCGATGCATTTCAGAGTATGGACGTCTCGACAGAGAAAACGCTAAAGAAAGGGTGAATTGAAAAAAAAGCGAGTAGCCGTTCTATAGTAGAATGCACAAGCCACTGAATCGTTGAGGACGAAGCTATCAACGTAGATGAAAAACAGGTCAGAATAAGTTTCAAATAAACTAAGGAGACTAGTGACTTTGGAGAAGTTGCATTGTCTTTTATCTGCGTTAGGGTAAATGAGCTTCGGGGAGGAATAGGGTTGCACATGGGTTGCACCCGGGGAGGAAAGTGAACATTTAGATTTTCCAACAATTTATGAGAAGATCTTGTAGATCGAGACGGTGATCGCTTTAGAGCATATGAGGTTCGTTGGTTGGGATAGACGATATCCTGATGGGTTGGATGGTTTGGTATGCCCGAAAGTTTCATTTCACAAGCTCCAAGAATACTGCATCGTCTTCAAAGAGTGTTCGTCAGCGTCCTTCAAGTGGCACTCGATTCGACGGGTGCGATAGTGGCTGTTCGGATGTCAGCATTGTGAATAAAATTTAGAAGGTTGAAAAGGTTGAAGAGAAAGCTGATTCGTAAACTTTGTTGCCATGATCCAGAACTGAGCGAATTATCGTTCTTTAAAACAGTAGAAAACAGAGGCGGTCAACACATTATGAAATCGCACCACCTGCAGACGAGCTTTAATGGCAAAACCCATCTGGCCTGCAGTCTACGGTTGTAGTTACGCCACGTCGTCTGTCAAAAGTGAGTCTAAGGAACCTAGTGTTTTCTACAAACGGAAGCTGGCGACCACTGGCAAGAGCTACGAGTTGTAGTGGATATGGTAAATTCAGCAAAGGAAAACGCAACAAGATTTCGTCAAAGAAAATTTAAAATCCCTAGACTCGCTCTATTGATGCAATCCATTAAGAGCAATTTGGAGATGCCTTTATCTGGTATTCATGTTTTAGGACGCACAGAAAATAGCAAAATTGTTAAAAACAGTGGTGCTTTGACTGGTTCACTAGCAAATGATGGAAATAATAGCAGAGTGACACTTAAGATCGAGCCCCGGAGACTGCCGTTTTGGGGGGTGAGGGGATGGCGAGATACCTTGTCACCTTGGAGTACATGAAAGGATCTATTACACAAAAAAGTTTTTTTAAGAGTAGAAAGCCGCCCCGTAAAACTACGCGAGTGTAAATAAGTAGAATGTCCAAGTGGTGTCATATGCATTTTCAATATCGAAGGCGATTACCAGACTGCCTCAAGAGATGCGAGAGTATTGATTGGGGCGTAAACTACCGAGGCCATCAGTTCACTATGTGTAGGACGTGTAACACAGCTAGTTAAAGAGGTTGGTCGGTAATTTGATGATGGTGATCGGTGCTTTAGGAATGAGGATGATTTTTATTTCCCGCAACAATTTTGGACAGAAATGCTCTTACCAGACACGATAAAACAGGTTAAGTATCTTGCGTTTTTGACAGGTCTTGCTTTTTTTGACCGACGTTTCAACATCAGTTTATGTATCTAATCTCGTTCAGGACAGGTATTTTTGACTGTGCTGTGGTGGAGAAAAACTTGCACCCGGAAAGAGAGAGAGAGTTGTTCCAGATTCGCTCGTCAGTGTAGGAGGCTTCAAAGAGATTGTTCGGATCACAAAAGCTGTTCAAAAGTACTTTCTTGGAATGGATTCGCCATCGAAACTAAGAATTAGATTGTTTTTGAGTAAATATTAATAGAACTGAATAACACTCTTCACAAGGTTACCAATAACTTTTACAACAGCTTCAATTGTCAACTCTTAAGAGTTTTCTTCATCAACCATGTTTCTTTATGTATTGAATGAGTCTAGTAGGGAGTGGTATGGCTTCTCCGCCGCATACTCGCGGGGGACACTTATGGGGTTCCAATTCACCCTGGAGTTGTCAGTGAAGTAGTCCAAGGCGATTAATCGGAAGTGGGTTAGATCCCGACCGCACGTGTACAAGAAGCCAGGCCAACATTTATAATATAACGGGACACAAACCTTCCGCAGTCATTTGGGCTCGTCGGGGTTCGCACAACGAACAGACTTGGATGAAGTATAACCCCAGGGTTCCAGCGGCATACGAGAGAGCGTGCACTTCCCTTAACTTCTAAGTCACCACAATAAGTCACCACAATTGCATTACCATAAATTATAAAACAGTAAAACAATTCGTATTAAATTTATGCGTTTTTTATTAAAAGTAATCATTAAAGAAGTTTATTTGATATATAATATAGAAACAGACACATTCCTTCTCTTAAACTAGTATACTTAAGATCTCTATTTCGCCTGCCGAGAATTTCACTTCCAATAATGACTGAATTTAGTTTCGTATACCACTGTGTTAATAAAGAAGAGAAGGGAGAAAGCATGAAATTTTTTGTAGCGCCGAGAACAGTGACAATGACTAAAACTAAGTGCTCGCGGTCAATGGGTATACATTCTATGGAGAAAACTACGGGATTTTGAGAGGTAATAATGATCTGCTTTCTCGTATTTTGCTAGCATCTTCTAAAAACACCTTTTAAAGAATATTAAAAACATTTTGTTTTATCCTTGAAAAGTTTTTAAAAAATGTGAAAAATTGATGAAATATTTATGAAAATACGAAGATAGCTATTTAAATAAATATAAAGGTCACAGTTATCACTCAATCAAATGTTTTGTCGGCAAAAGTGCTGCGGTGAGTGGCGCTTTCGATGTGGTAATGCAGCAATGAAGGTTAATAACATGTTTCCTTAAATAGTATTCCCCTGCCATTAAAAATTGAATGTAAATTCATTCAATGATGTCAGCCAAACAAAACCTAAACGTTACCGACTGTCAGGATTAGCTGACGATGCTGTCTGTACATAACAATACAGATGGGAGAATTTTTGACGGAAGGACGCATAGGCGAAAAACTTTCTGCCAACAAGTCGGGCAGACACTCTCATAGATGGCCTATAGGTCTACAGTAGTAATTTAATTGGATTCTGGTATGTACTATACATAAGTTTTAAATATTTTCTTCGTTATCTGATTGATTCAATTAATACACCGGTAATAAAAATATTTCCATTTATTAGAGCAAATTATACATAATTTTTTCATTTATGCGTATACTAGCGGAAAACGACAGACTTGCCTTCTTGCCCTTAATCTTCCTTTCTCTCTTCGTCTTCCCCCTCTTTCTTCGTCAACCTTCCTCCCCTCAGAAAAAATGTAATAGAATGTTCAAAAACATATCTTGTAGATTACGATATGTGAAACGTTTCTTAGGGCTGAAAACTATAGTTTTTAAATCCTTAGAACTGTTCATTTAGGGGTTATTTAACGATACAGATTCAAAGAATCCTGTCGAGTGTGTTGCATTTGACGTAAATATTTAGTTTTGTCCTGCAGCACCATCTACTGATTTTTTTCGATGTTTTAATAGTTATTTCGCTATTCGGGGCGGAGATATATCCAACAAATCAGAGATAATTAAAATTGATCCAGCCGTTCTTGAGTTATAAATGCTGTAACTAACCCTTATATAGAAGCTACAGTAATTAATGAATAAAATTGAATTAAATTATCCTTTTAATATTTTATCTTCTTTAATTTAATTTTATAAAATATTTTGTCATGGTTTAAGATAGAACAAAAGAATAAATATTCGAAAACAAAAACTAAATAACAGAGTTACACCCTCTATATTTGTGTAACGCAGAGTAATAGTGCTTCCAAACCACCTCCTCTTTAGTACTACATAATTTCTGGACGACTTCCAACGCAAAATTCGCAAAACGCCATATCTCCTTGACTCGCATTTGTTTGGCTAGAGCTGCCGTC